AGCCTACGATCAGGCTCCCCTTTCCTGCCCACCCATATGTCCCACTTACCTGTGTAACCTCCCCCACCTGCTTTCAAGCCCTCTCACTGCCTATCCACCCTTTCCCTGATAATGCCGGGTGGTTTAAGGTGGCTGTTGGGATTTTGCTGTAAGCAGAGGCTTGGATCCAAAAGACAAGAGCCACTCCATGCTTAAGTTTTAAAAGGAACCTAACTTTACTGTTTAAGGAGCTGCGGTGGCTCAAGTGGTTAAGACGCTGAACTGCAGGCTGTGGAAGGTCGGTAGTTCAGCAGTTTGAGACCCGGGTGCCGCAAGACGGGGTGAGCTCCCGTCTCTAGTTCCAGCTCCTGCCAACCTAGCAGTTCGAAAGCAAGAAATTGCAAGTAGATAAATAGGTACCACTTTGGTGGGAAGGTAACAGCGTTCCGTGCACCTCGGTGTTTAGTCATGCCGGCCACATGACCACGGAAACGTCTTCGGACAGCGCTGGCTCTTCGGCTTTGAAACGGAGATGAGCACCGCAACCCTAGAGTCGGAGTCGACTGGCCTTCGAGCAAGGGAACCTTTACCTTTAACTTTACTAGAGGAAACAAGGGAACGTGCTTTAGATAAAAGAAATTAAAGATTACATACTTGCAGCTGACTACATCCTATCAGTTACTTTGCGAACAAGAGAAGAGATTGCTCTTTGCTTCTTGTTGCTGAACACACAAAGAGCCATCAACTCGTGAACACATGCATACAAAATCAAAGCATTTCTACAAACAAAATGCCAGCTGACCAATAGAAGAGGCTACAGGTCACTTCATTGGGATAAACAACTCCCACAAACTTCCCACCTTGGCTAAACACTACTCTTACAGGCTGTAACGTAACATCCCATTAAAAACAACATTTAACTCCATAGTGACTGAAAAGTAAGCAGCTATCAACTCCAACACTGGTACTGAGCCAGCCAGTCCAGCATTTTCACTGACTGTCCAGGGAAAAAAACTGCAAAAATACCGGACATTTTGGGCTTGGAGGAGGCAGCACGAAGCAGCCGCCTCTGGGAGGAGACGATGCTGAACCTCAGTGTCCGGTATTTTTGTAAAAAGTATATATCTGGCAACTCTATTCAGTGTTCCCTCTAAGCTGAGTTAGTGTGAGCTAGCTCACAGTTCTTTAGCCTCTAGCTCATACCTTTTTGTCTTAGCTCAGGAAGGAGGGCTCCAAAGCAAACTAGTTTATGCAGTAGCCAAATGGCTCACTCACAACTTTAATGCCAGTAGCTCAAAAAGTAGAATTTTTGCTCACAAGACTCCACAGCTTAGAGGGAGCATTAGTGTGTATGGCTGAGAGCGCTGCTACCAGGAGCAACACTCCTGCGCACCACCCAATGCGTCTCCCTGGATGCTCTGGAATGCATCTGTAGCCAGGAGTGCCAGAGATGGAGCGCTTCCAGGGAACTGAGGGAGGGAAGTACAGACAGGAAACAGTGGCCTCACATGGGTGAGCCGTCAGTGGCAGCAAGCCCTGTCAGAAACCCTAGACCCCTGCACCTGTCCCATCTCAAGTCATGCTGAGGCCAACCCTGATGTGAACAGATCTGCAGTGGTTGCCTAGCAGCGGCATTCAGACTGGACTGCTATAATTTGTTCAGTGACCGTCTGTCTGTCTTTCAAAATTATGATGGCTTCAAAACACCACAGCAAGACTCCTAAGGTGCTCACTGGCCTAATACCACGTCAGCTTTGTGTGTGTTGTGTTAAGTGCCTTTGCTACCCGAACTGCCCGTCCTCCCTTTACAAGGGGGAATTAGCAGGGAGACAGCGGTGGCAAAATGAGTATAACAGACGGGATCGTACGCCTAGGTATACCAGGGTCGGTTTCAAAGAGAGAAACACTTTAAATGATCAGGACTAAGTTTGAAGGAAGTTTGTTTTATTGAAAAATACTGATTAAATGCAAAGCAGACACACAACACATGCAAGGCTACAGAGAAATGGGGGAGCTTAGAGAGTTTTGAGACGATATTTACCAGATCCAGATGTGCAGAAGTCCAATGGAAGGAGATCGTGAATGATCAGCATATCACAAACAAAAGGGGACCCATACTGTGAGTTTGGGGGTGCTACAGTGCCCCTATGAATTAGCATCCTCCCAAATGCCCTGTCATTAACAGCGTTGCAAACTTAGGGCCATGGCTTCCTTGACAGAGTAGAGCCATCTCCTGTTGGGTCTCCCTCTTTCCCTGCTCCCTTCAACTTTTCCTAGCATTATTGTCTTTTCCAGTGACTCTGGTCTTCTCATAATATGGCCAAAGTACTGGACTAAAAATCTAGGAAATCCAGCAAGTGGCAGGTTCTGTGGGGGAAAACCCCAAAGGGGAAGAGTACTTGGGAGTCATAGTCTGCAGAATGAGTGAATTAGCTCCTCTGCTACAACTCTACAACTCTTTTTCTGGTTTTTTAATATTTTGGAATTTTTAAAAAACTGTCTTTGCTCCACCAGTCTACTTATTTTGGTTGTCAAGTTCTTTTATCAGTTGTGCATAGTTGATTTTTTTTAAGTAATAGAATTGGCACTATTTGTTTGTTTGTTTGTTTGTTCCCACCCTCCCAGCCTAGGCCGGCTCAGTTAGAAAGGTAGGGTAGTCATTTTCACTACATAAATAAAATAATCCCTGGCGTTCTTTGGACAGACGATGATGTTTATTGTTAAACAGAATTGAAACAACTTGTCACAGTGAGTAGGTGTCTTTCTTTCTTCCCTCTGCTGGCTTTGGTCATATATTTTACAGGTTTCCAAAGCAATATGAAAACCTGCCCCGGTCTGGGGAGCAGATGCCGAAATGGGAGGGAGGGACTTACCCTCCACAGGAAGCAGTGGATCCTTCTTGGAGCTCCAGAGAGGGAAAATGTCATCTGTTCCCAGTCTGTGTATCTTGAAGCCCTTGTGGGACGCAGACAGGGTGTGTTGAAATCTTGTGTGATGCACTATTGTGGTTTTAGCTGCAAGGTTATTGATAGCATTTCCCCTTCTTTGGCGTTCGAGCCTGTCTGGCTGGAAGGTTTGTCCTTCTTGTGGTGGTAGGCGGGTTACTCCGATTCAGCCCTTTTTAACCAAAAGGAAGTTTACTGTAACCCGAAAAGCAGGAAGTGGGTTAGTGGAGGAGAACTGTGGGTGTCTGTACCACATGGAAGTTCTACACTTCATGCTGCTCCACCAGGCCTGTGATTGAATCTCCCTGTGTATTTTTCAACTTTACACAACTTTAAGGTTGGCAGTGAAGACACGAGAGTCCAGGGGCACCTTTAAGACCAACAAAGGTTTATTCAAGGTATGAGCTTTTGTGTACACGCACAGTTCTTCAAATACTGAAACTAAAACTTTCCTCAAATACTGAAACTGAAGAAACTGAAATCGTTAAAAGATCTTCTATTCCTTGGCTCCACTGTCAACCAAAAGGGAGACTGCCACCAAGAAATCCAAAGGAGATTGAGACTGGGAAGGGCAGCCATGAAAGAGACAGAAAAGATCCTCACGTGTAAGGATGCATCTCTAGCAACCAAGATCGAGATAATTCATGCCATAATATTCCCCATTACTATGTATGGGTGAGATAGTTGGACAACGAAGAAAGCTGACAAAAAGAAAGCCGCTTCATTTGAAATGTGGTGGCGGAGGAGAGTTTTATGGACCTCCAAAAAGACAAACAAGTGGATTCTAGATCAAAGCAAGCCTGAAGTCTCCCTAGAAGCTGACTAAACGGAGGCTATCGTACTTTGGTCACATTACGAGGAGACAGCAAGTCCAGTGGCGAGCTGGACTCGGGTTCTTCCGGAGAGGACTCTCTGTCTGAGAAAGGGGCAGTGGCTCCTAAAAGTCCTTATAAGTTGCGGAAGAGACTGGACAAGAAGAAGTGAAGGCTGAAGGACTCTGAATTGTGCCTTTGAAAAATTTTGAATTGAGATGCTTTGGGGTATTTCCTGATATCAGTTAAATTTAAGATGTGGGGAAAGTTAACAGACTATGTGACTCAGTTTGTAATGAGATTAATATGATTAAGACTAGATGTGTATTCAAGCTGATCAGAAGATCTCCTCTCTTGGGTTTTTAGTCAGTGGTGGGTATCTTTCCTTTATTCCCTTAAATGTAGTCCCCTCCCTTATTTCTGTTATAGTTTGTAGTTTTAATTAAAAAATGCAATAAAAAAAATTCCCCATTGGGGAGAAAAGAGAGAGAGAGAGAGAGAGAGAGAGAGAGAGAGAGAGAGAGGAGTCACTGGAAAAAACAATTGTGCCGGGAATAGCTGAAGACAGCAGGAAAAGAGGAAGATCCAATGTGAGTTGGATGGACTCAGCCAAGGAAGCCACAAAGACCCTCAGTTTGCAAGACCTGAGCAAGGCTGTTAATGGATAGAACATTTTGGAGGTCATTAATTCATAGGGTCGCCATACTTGACAGCGCTTAACCTTAATGTACACACATTTTTCAAGGCTAAAAAGCATCTAGGATGGATGGGGGGAACTGTCTAGGGAGCAATTTCCATCAGGGAAATAGTCCTGATGACAAACTTTGGACATAATGTGTCAGAGGAGAAGAGAGTCAGTTTCCACACACAAAAATGAACAGCCTTTCTAGTCCATAGGTTTGCTGCTTTCTCTGTGTTACTGCTTGTGATTCGGCTCGGTTGTAGTTTTAAATGATATTTTTCCATAGGTTTGCTGCTTTCTCTGCAGAGGGCTATATGAAGGCCATATATAACCCTGCCCATAAATAAATATATAAGAAACAGATCTGGAAGCCCACAGGAATCGTGGACGTCCCTTAAGTCTGCCTGTTAAATTCTGAAGACTTCCAGATTCCATTTGCTCTTTGGGCAGGAATCCGATTCACTGTCCGGCTCGCGTCTGCAACAGGGCGGCCCAACATGAGTTGTCTTTCTATTTCTGGAGCAGACCTTTGCATTTATAGAACTTCATGTGACAGGTTGGAGGGGGGGCTATTTTTGGTCTGCGAAAGGAGCGAGTTCGAAGTCCCACTGCTTGAGCATCCAGTGCCAGGGGTACCGGGTACAGAGCCATGCCACTCCAGGAGAACTTCCCTGCACTCTGCCCGGCATGGCCCCATCACCAGCATAAGCTGTTTGCAAGGTAGGATCAGCTGCATCTCCTGTTGCCTTTCCCTCCAGTTTTGTGTAGTGGTTAAGAGTGTGGACTCTAATCTGGGAGATCCGGATTTGATTATCTGCTCCTCCACATGCAGCTGCTGGTGTGACTTTGGGTCAGTCACAAGTTGTTTCAGAGCTGTTCTCTCAAGGGCAGTTCTTGAAAGAGCTCTCTCAGCCCCACCTACCTCACAGGGTGTCTGTTGTGGGGAAGGGGAAGGGAAAGGAGATTGTAAGCTGCTCTGAGCCTCCTTCAAGAAGTGAAGGGTGGGGTATAAATCCAGTCTCTTCCTCTTCTTCTTCCTCCTCCTCCTCCTCTTCCTCCTCCTCCTCTTCTTCCTCCTCCTCCTCCTCCTGTCCCCTCTGGAATAGAGACGGACTGTCAGAGTTGCACCTATATTTTGCTTGACGTCCTTTTTTGCCAATCGTCCCGCAAAGCGGTTCTCTAGCTTCTTGGAAACACTCAAAGGGACAGATCAGAAGGTACCTGATCTGTACGGATGGAGATTGTACATGGGTTGTGAAAACAGGCACAGGTGTTAGTGACTGACCGCAGGCCAAGGAGAGCTTGCTATGCTGAAGGGCACGGCCTTGAAAGCCATGCTTGTCAGTGATTCTTTTTTTAGTAGCAGAATCGCTGTAAGGACATGGGAGGCCACATGTTGTAGCAGTTACGGTGTCAAAATAAGATGGGTGGCCGGCGCGTGAGTCTGTCTGCAGCAGCTGGAAAGAGCCAGAGTTCAGGAGCACCTTAAAGACTAACACAATTTGTGGCAGGGGAGGAGCTTTCGTGAGTCACTGCCAATGTTCCCTCTAAGCTGTGGAGTCTTGTGAGCAAAAATCCTACTTTGTGAGCTCCTGGCATTAAACTTGTGAGCAAGCGATCTGGCTACTGCATCAATTAGTTTGCTCTGGAGCCATCCTTCCTGAGCTAAGATAAAAGTTTGTGAGCCGGAGGATAAAAACCTGTGAGCTAGCTCACGCTAACTCAGCTTAGAGGGAACACTGGTCACTGGTCACTTTTTCAGATACGTATTTGAAGACGTGAGCAGTGGCTCACGAAAGCTCCTACCCTACCACAAATTTTGTTAGTCTTTAAGGTGCCCCTGGACGCTTACTCTTTTCTACAGTGTCAGACTAGGACCCGGAAGAGCCGGGTTCAAATCCCAACTCTGCCGCTCAGAACTAGCTGGGCGATGACCTCGGGTCAGTCACGCTGCTCTCTCGGTCTCTCAGGCTGACCTGCCTCATAGGGTGTCCCAGCCTTGTGAGAATAAAATAGAAAAGGGGGGAACAATGTCCTCAGCTGCTTTGGGTCCCCATTGTGAAGACAAGCTGGGTATCAATATCTGTATAAAATAATAAAAGATGGGTGATGTGGTTGCTGAGGGAAGGACGTGTCTGTTGAAAGCAAACTCTGAGGGAGAGACAGCGTATCTGCTGGGGTCTGAGCATGCCGTATCCCCCACCACCACCAAGGAGATCTCAACTCATTAGGCGGCTTATGGCAACCCTGTGGGGTTTTCAAGAGATGTTCAAGGGATGGTTTGCCACTTCCTGCCTCTGCGTAGCAACCTTGGATGTCCTTGGTGGTCCCCCTTCCAAATACTGACCTGGGCCAGCCCCGCTTAGCTTCTGTGATCCCACAAGATCCGGCTAGTCTGGGCCGTCCAGGTCAGGGCAGAGATGAACAGAGGTGGCTGGCCGTTACCTGCCTCTGCGTAGCAACCCTTGGAGGTCTCCCATCCGGACACTAGCCAGGGCTGACCTTGCTCAGCCTCCGAGATCTGATGAGATCAGGCTAGTTTGGGTCATCCATGTCAGGGCAGAGGTGACCAGAGGAGGTTTGTCTTAGCCTGCCTCTGCGTAGCAACCCTGGACTTCCTTGGAGGTCTCCCGCCCAAATGCTAACCAGGGCTGACCCTGCTTCGCTTCCGAGGTCTGATGAGATCAGGCTAGCTTGGGTCATCCATGTCAGGGCAGAGGTGACCAGAGGAGGTTTGTCTTAGCCTGCCTCTGTGTAGAAACCCTGGACTTCCTTGGAGGTCTCCCGCCCAAATGCTAACCAGGGCTGAGCCTCCTTAGCTTCCGAGGTCTGATGAGATCAGGCCAGCCTGGGCCGTCCAAGGGATAAACAGGGGGGACCAACCCATTCATTTCCTAACCTCACTAAAAGCCATCCTTTCCCTGCCTGACATTTTCCCTCCCGATCTGCATCCTCCCAGATGGAAAATTTTGAGTACAGCATCCAGCTGAACGACCGGGATTGGGCTGAATTCTACTTGGCCTCCGAAGAATGCAGCTTGACCCAGGCCGCCTTAGCCACTGCCGAGGAGCCGCTCCCGAGTGACCTTGACGACGCGGAGGTCGAGAACAGGTTGATCCGAGTGAGAGTGGGCCCGTGCCCGCCTCCCGGCCCGGCCAGCTGCCCGCCACGTGGAGCCCCTCACAGGCACCTGCTGGCAGAAGAAGAGGTTCTGTCTGGCAGCGAGGACGAGACAGATCTTGGCTCGGTCAGCCGGTTTCTCTGTGACAACAGCCAATGCCGCGCAGCTTTTCCACAGCCGTCTCCAATCCAGAGAAGTCAATCGTCCCGTGTCGCTGTGGAGCCATTGGCAGGACTTGACGGAGAATGTGGGGCTTCATTTGCTGCAGAGGGAAGAGAACCAGAGACGGGAGACAGGCGTGCTGATGCCGATCGTCCCCTACCAGAGGGAGATGTTGCCATCCAAAAGGCGGGATTCCAAGGACGAATCTCAGGCCCAGAAGCCATGGAGAAACCCACTTGCTCTGTGCCGGTGAACGTGGGTGCCTCAAAGGGGATGGAAGAACAGAGAAGACGACCCCTTGGCTTGGCACTGCAGCAGCCCACCAATGATATCTCCCAGACTGCCTCTGCTGACATCCAGTTCCCATTACCGGTGGGGAGCAATGCTGTTTGTGGGAACCCAGAATCCCCCGAGTCGAAGGATCCAAATGTACATCCAACATCCTCAATTTTTCCTTCTGGAGAGACTGAAGGAGCTGAGCACCCGGAAACGGGAACCAAGCACCTCCAGGTCAGCTTGAAGGCAGGAGCACCATCGTTCCAGGAAAAGCCTTCCCTATTTCAAGGACATTCAGTTCCACCACTAGGGACCTGGCCACCATCTGGCCCACCGTCAGAAAGCCACAAGGAAGGAGTCCTGGAAAGCAGAAGCAGTGAGGAAGAGAATATTGCAGATCTCAAAGCCGAGGGGCAAACGGACCAGAGTGAGGACTTGGTCGACAGCATCTTAAAAGAGGAAGGTCAAGTCGACCAAGAAACCAGTTCTGCCGGCTGCAAGGTGGATTCGCAGAAGGCCCCAGAAGAACCGGAAGCGAGCAAATGTCCACGACCAACCATCATAACTGAGTCCAGATGTTCTGGAACGTTAGATCAGCACAGAGAAACTGCTGCGTTGAAGGCAGAGACCCAGAAGGGTGGTGTTGAGGAACCCTGCCATCATCCAGGCCCAGCTCTGCCATTGGAAGGAGGAACTCCAAGTATGGGCCAAGGAAGCCAGAGATCAAACCTTTTAGAAGATAACATTCCGTATTGTCTGCCACTGGAGAACTCTCTGGAAGGTCACTTGGCTGTGATGACGTGGCCTCAAGACTGCGACCATTCTAACTGTGGTAACACCCAAGACCTGGCGGAAAAGACGCAGGGCGGAGTGGTGGAGAAAAGATCCACCTCAGACGTTGGTCAGGACTTGCCTGAAATGTACGGGCCTGACATGTATGAATACTTCTTCACCGACATGGAAGGGGCTTGCGCGGGCGACAGTGGCGAGGAGAAAGAAATGGGGCTCGAGACGCTGAGCAGCTCCAACCAGATGTTGGCTCCATCTACTGGTTCTCAGGACTCAGACTCTATTGCGGCTGGTGAGGCCACACTCATCTCTGTCCCAGAGGTGTACGAACACTTCTTCAACAACGGAGCACAGGGCAGGAAGAGCTGGAAGCGGCTTTTCCTGAGCATGCCGGCCTCAGAGGCCAGGAAGGCGGTGAGAGCTTTGAAATCCCTTCTGAGCAAGCCTGCCCGCCTTCTCAGGCGCCGCCCCCCAAGCCCTGGGACTGCGCTGCGGAGAGGATCCCATGGAAAGCTGGTGGTCTTCTCACCAAGGCTCCTGGAAGAAAGCCAACCAAGACCGGAAGACCTAAGGATGGCTGTGATATCGCCAGGTAACTAGTACACAGGGGGGAATTCTGGCTCTCACAAGTTGCTACTCGGGTAAGCATTTAGTACTCTCTTACCAATGTCAACAGAGACGTCAGGGGGCTTATATGCCTAAAGTGCTAAACGAAGAGACCCAAAGCAGAACGACACGTTATAAGTCACACCGGGATCTGAGTTTCTGCACTAATGATTTGCATCTGGGAGATGCAAACTTAATGTCAACTTGCAGTGTTATCCTAGACGGGGACTTATTTGCAGGTTTTTAAAGAGTCAGAAGGGTCAGAGAACCTCTTTTTGCAGTCGGTACACAAAGATAGATCCGGCAGCTTATGTTTAAGCCTTTTGGTAAATTCTTCAGGCAGCGGACACTCTGTATATGCTCTATAGGTCCAAAGGCACTGATCGTACATATTGTGAGCTGCTATGGACCGTTAAGGTCGCCAACTCTCTCTTGGGAAATTGTTGGTGATTTGGGGGTGAAACGTGGGGACAGTGGGATTTGGGGAGGGACCTCAGAGGGTATATCTGGCCATAGAATTCACCCTCTTTAGATACAGCTTGCTGTATCTGAAGAAGCGAGCAGTGACTTAGGGAAGCTCCTCCCCTGCCACAAATTTTGTTAGTCTTTAAGGTGCTCCTGGACTCCTGCTCCGGTTTGTGACCTGGCAACATCATGGCAGTGTTCAACTGTGACACCTAAAAGCATTCCTGAATGTGTCCTGGGATGGAATCTTTAATAGAAAGTGAGGAAGTTGGCTGAAATAAATGTTTTGGATGGGGAAAACTCCTACTTCTGGAGAACAGAGAAATGCCGAGGGAGTGAAAGAAAAATAATCAAAAGGTTTGATACAGCACAATTTTAAAGCTTTGCATGAGATTTTCCATGGTAGTAACAACAATGGGAAAGAGCTGTGAAGCAGAACACAATAGAACAAGTAGCAATGATAATATATTGGACAGATAACAACGTGTGCAGTACATGGATATAATCACTGCACAATAAGGCACAATAATTCTAAATATGAATCTTCTGATACACAATGAAATATTCCAAAAAATTATCTTTCCAAAATAGTTCTTTCCAACGGATCCGGATATTGACAACTTTGTTTTGATAATCTTCCTCAAGAAAATTACTGTTATAAGTATTTCCAAGGCATAAGGTTCCAGAAAACTGTATAGCTTCAGACTGCTAGTGGAGAAGGGACTGTCTATTATAAATATTTCAAAGGCATACGTTTCCAGAAAACTGTGTAGCTCCAGACTATTAGTGGAGAAGGAACTGCCCTTCCAGGGTATTCAAAGAGGTCTGCAATAACAATTATATTTCAACTGATGATGGGCCACCACTAACAATTTTTAAAAACCACTACTGTACTGCTGTGTGATCTCCTTTTTGGTTACCCATTATTGAGAGTTCCCGTGGGCCAACCCAATGCAGAACTACTGCTGTAGGATTCCAGGACGCAGCCTGATGGCTTTTCACGAGAAAAATCACTTATTCTTTCCCCAGAAAGACCCCTTCAGTTGGCTCTCACGCACAGGGACATGTGCCTGGGCTTTGTGGCATTCGCTTCGTGGGCCGTAAAGACCTCCAACCTGCAGGCCCCAGACGCTTGGAAGATTGGTAACGTTATCTCAAGACTCCTGTCGGAGACACAGAGCTTCCGTGTGGAGCTGGGGAAGGGGCGGATTTAAGCCGTGGAGATAGCCCAGGAATGTAAACTGACTGGCTCCATTCTGGGACTGGACAGAATTAAGGCAGGAAACAGCCTCTCTTTCTCTCTCTCTTTACTCTTGATCGCTAGGCAAGGCAGCATGTATTGTTTGGTTCTCCAACTCCTGGCAGTTTCTGGTTCCTAAACTTATTTTCCTGAATCCAAACTGGAGGCATCTTTCTCTCCCAACCCCTGAAAAAGGTTTATGTTTGAAGCACATATAGAATCACCTGTCCTCAGACCCATTATGTGGCTCTGTATGAGTTACCGATCTGGATGCAGGCAAGCCCAGGGCACTTTCTTCCACAGAGATGCACTGGACAGCCTCCTCTGAGATCCTATTATTTGGCTTCATTGGTAACAATGAATTGATCTCATTGCATCCTGTGACAAAATTGCCTGTCTGCTGCAGAGGACAGACTCAATGCCCCCTCTAAGCTGTGGAGCCTTGTGAGCAAAAATTCTACTTTGTCAGCTACTGGCATTAAAGCTGTGAGTGAGCAATTTGGCTACTGCATAAATTAGTTTGCTCTGTAGCCATCCTGCCTGAGCTGAGACAAAGATGTGTGAGCTGGAGGCTAAAAAACTGTGAGCTAGCTCACACTAACTCAGCTTAGAGGGAGCACTGGGTAGGCTGGATTAGAGCTGGGAGTCATGCAGAGACAGAGTGGGCGGGCTCTTGTGGGAGGGCATCTTGAACTTACAGGAGCCTCTGATTATTCGAGTAACTTATTTGTTGCAGCACATTTGCCTTTTTCTCACAGCACACGCAGCGTGAAAGTAAGTTACCGCTCTGTCCATTTCACTCAGCGTTAGCTGGTGCTCCCTTGCTTTTTCCTGCTACTCCTGAGTCTTTGGGCCATCCTGAAAGAACTCTGCTTTCTTTGCAACTTGCTCCAGCCAAATCACATGAAAGCAGACAGGAATCCTGTTGCCTCCCGATCTGTATCCGCTCTGGCTTTGCACACGAGGTGGGTGTGATAGAAGCACCACACCTCATCGTCCGTATCGCTTAATGCCTTCTCTCGGGGCTTTGTTTGATGCACTACCAAATGTCGCCAGCCGCCCTCTAGCATTGTGGCACTGAAAATGCTGCTGACAACTACGGCTCAGGCCAGTGGTCCACATAAGGGCAACAGACGGGTCATCGACCACCAATTCCTCTGTTGCTCAGTCCTATCTTCTGAAAAACAAACTGATTCCTGAAGTCTGAACTGACCTTAACACCCTGCGATGCTTTTGCAACACCTTAGCTCCTTTGCAGACACAGAAACAATGCAACACCTGAGCTTGCTTAGCTGAAGCAGGGCTCCTTGTTGCTAGATCTCAGCCCCTCTGCGAATCAGTTGCAATAAAGCTCATTAAATCTGCCAAAGAGACTTCATCGAAAGTCCTTAGCTCTTTTACCAACCAGCCACGCCAGAAACACATGAGAAAGAGAGAGAGTTAGTTAGTTTCTGGGTTAAGGTATATTAACATCAAATGAATAGAAGGAAGGACAGAAGGAATTAAAAAACACAACGAATGTAAGATGTTATCTGTTTTCTCTTCTTTTTTTGGTATTTTTAATGTATTTTTCATATGTGCTTGTGTGTGTGCACACCTGGAAGTCATGGCAACCTCTGGTGACTGACCCCTCCTGGGGGCCTAGAGGATATTCAGAGAGGCGGCTGATTAAAGCCTGCCCCCACCTCCCGACTGCTGGTATTCCAAAGTGATCTCCCATCCAAGTACTTACCAGAGTCGACCCTGCTTAGCTTCCGAGATCTGACCTGATCAGGCTTGCCTGGGCTATCCAGGCCAGGGCAGATGTTTTCTGTTTTCATTGTCTACTTATTTTTATCTTTCCCCCCTTAATTATTCATTTTTAAGAAACCACCCTGCTCATTGAATCTCACATACCCAGTTGCAAAAAACTGAGTCCCCGGTACGTGATTCCCGCCCCGTCCCCCCACACACACCGCAGAGAATGTGTTCTGCTGCCCATTAGAATAAACAAGAGTGGACCCGCAACAAAATGTTGCTTGTCTCTTCCCGCCCCCTCCCCTCCATTGCGAGCCCCGGCGGCTGCAGCCACCGGGCCTCGCTCATCTCTTCCCCCC